TCCTGACTGAAGCTAAACCCATCCTATTCATATTTCTTGGCAACAATGGATGGTTTCAGAAATCTGCCCAGATATGTCTCTAGCAGCTTAAAACCTGCTTTTGCAGTCTTAAAGCAAGGTCCATTTCATGACATGCAGTGTAAGGAACCTGGCTGCAAGTGCTTTTTGTTCTAATTCATTAGTCTGAATGCTTGTATGATAAATGAAGATCATTCCTCCTTCACTGCCCTATGGGGCAGCCCTTATGTACTCTATTAACTGGGAAGTTATTTCCTAGACGAGGGAGATTAGCTTTGTATTGCTGCAATGTTTAGGCTGTTAGATCACTTAGTACAGATCATTCTGCCAGTTCAACTTACGAAGGAAGATTTTTTTGGCTGCTGGACTAAAGAGGTATTGTTCAGGCATACATAACGTGTTAGCTTGAATCGACTTGTCATAACAAGCTCTTTAAAAACTCTCCTGATCCTGCAAGCTAATTAATTTCTCACCCGTTTGCCTGTAAGGCCTAGATTTACAAAGGAATTTAGGCATGTTTCTTTTTAGGAGGAACTTAAGTTTACATGCCCACCGGCACAGTTTATAAGGCTGCTTCTCTTGAGCTAATTACATGCCGCGGTTTTCATGTTAGTTCACTCAGACAAGTTGCTGCTGCTTTCTTCTGCTGCATAGAAAAGTTGCTCTTGTGCCTAAATCAGGCTGATCAGCACTTGCTGAAGGTAATATGGGTTTTGCCAATTAGGCAGCCGTATGCCATACTTAAGTTTTTACCCTCTAAAGAGTCTGACCTAAGAGAAATTAATTTGAGCAAGTTTGAAGCACAGTCCAGCACAACAAATAAGAGTAGCAGGTATTACTCATTCAGGTGGTGAAGAGGCTTTGCCTTGGGTTTGATCTCTCCAAGAATTACTCTGGCTTTGCACAATGGTGTGCCTCTGCAGCTTCAGGAGCTAGGATTAAACCTAGGATTGCTTTCTGCTCGTCTTTCAAAAAAATGGTTCTTTTGAGATCTTGGGCTGCAAGGTGATATATTCATCAGGAGGACCCACTGCAAACCTGTCTGTAGGCTGCTGTTCAGGCCACTGTGTTTGACAATTGCCTGGACCCTCTTCTGACTGCTTGCATTTCAGGCAAGAGGTTTTATCACTAAAATACTGTGTAACACATAGATATCCTTATGATTGTTTTGAGAAACACTCATCTGTACTTCAATCCACAAGGTACAGCTTGAAATTCTTCCTGGATTAGATTTTAATGCCTTAAATGTCTATCCCAGGGCTGTGGATGGCTGAACGTCCAGAGAAATGCCAGAGTTTCCTACAAACCCTTCTTGTCTTTGTGCCTGGACACGGAGATGGCAAGCTCTCACAGCTATACGGAGTCTTGCAGATCTGATGCTTTGGCATCAAACTCTTCCCTCTGCAAAGGGTATTCCATGGAATAACCAACATGATGCATCTCTGCATCTTCCATCTGTTTTACATGGGAAACAAGGTGCCCTTTTTTGCCTGTACATCTTGTATTATTCCATCTGTTCCTAGTCTTGCTTCTTACTGCATATGTGTTGGGTTGTTTCCTCTGGAATCTGCAGCCTTTCTGGATTGCAGTTCAATGGGGATACCTTCACGTTTGACTCATCCCTGACATCTTGATAGAAATGAAGCAGAAAGGTTTTTCTCTTTATTGTTGCAGGGGATGCAATACTGCAATCAGCTCTGGGAAGAGCATGTTTCTTTTGGAAAGGGATGGCAATAAGCGGCCTTGGAGTTTGAAAAAGAGCTTGTATGAGGCTGGCATTCTCCTACACCCCACCTCCTTCTTGAATTGCACATATGCTCACTATTTTGAATGATATTTGACAACTGGTTTGTCAAGTAGGTCCAGACTTAGGTACCTATTTTATAGGGGTTATTCTAGAGTTGCAAAAAGCCAGGTGTTGCCCATTGGATCTTGAACTGACAACACAGTACAAACAAAACAAAACAAACCTAAGCAACGTGGCCTCTTTTTCCCCAACCTGAAATACTAGAGAACACAGAAACCATCTGTCCTTTTTGTCTATCTCTTTCTTTTGAGCCTCCTGCACTTGGAGCCACAGAGTGACGGATCAGCACAGTGTACATATCCAAACTCTTGTAGCACAAAGCTCATACCTCTCCTGATTTGAGACTCCCTCTTGTACTCCTTGAGACCCGTGGCAGGCTTAGTTTCCTCTTAGCAGCAGGACTGGCCCTAGCCTGTGCTTTGGGCTCAGTTTTGTAAGAAAGAGGGGAGGAGGGAGGCATTTCCTGCCTAGTTCTACAACACAAAGCCTCTGCTTGGCCTTGGGACATGCATGTTGTCACATCTCTCTGGTAAAATCACTGTCTTACATGCTATCTCAGCCAAGCAGAAGGGAGATAATTCAGCTCTGCAACATCTGGATATCTGGAATGGGAAAGGCAGCAAAACCTTACCTATCTTCATAGAATCACAGAATGGTTTGGGTGGGAAGGGACCTTAAAGATCATCTAGTTCCACCCCCCCTGCCATGGGCAGGGACCCCTTCCACTAGACCAGGTTGCTCCAAGCCTCATCCAGCCTGGCCTTGAAGACATCCAGGGATGGGGCATCCACAACATCTCTGGGCAGCCTGTCCCAATTTAAACCCATTCCCCCTTGTCCTGTCATTCCATGCCCTTGGAAAAAGCCCCCCCAGCTTCCTTGTAGCACCCCCAGGCACGGGAAGGGGCTCTAAGGTCTCCCTGGAGCCTTCCCTTCTCCAGGCTGAACCCCCCAACTCTCCCAGCCTGTCCCCATGAGAGAGGGGCTCCAGTCCTCGGAACATCTCCATGGCGTCCACTGGACTTGCTCCAACCGGTTGATATCCTTCTGATGTTGGGGGTCACAGATGTGAACACAGTACTCCAGGTGGGGTCTCACGAGAGCACTGAAAAGCACCATCTACTTAATTGCCCAGTGTCTGATAATTTGAACAGTCCTCTGTAGTAATCAGTTACCACTTCTCTGTGAGGAATTTGTGCACATAAACATAGGAAAGTGCTCCCTTGAACCCAGAGAAGTGTTTTGAATCTTACCTGGCTTTGTGAATATGTGCACATCTTGGAATTTGGATAAATTCCTAAAGCTTACATTTAATTGTAAAGCTTCTGAGAACTCTGTACAGAGCAAAATACCTGTTTTTGCTGTTACAGCTGAAAACATAGCACTCTATTTCCTGTGGTTTTTTGTAAGGCAGATTCAGCAAACCTAGAGCTAATATGAAAAAGCTTCTTATCTAAGTTTTAAGATAAACAAAATCTAATCAAATAAATTATACTGGATATTCATTAATTTGCCAAATCAAGGCTGAAAGCACTAAGCTGGGGGAAGGTGAGGGGAAAACATCCCCAGTATGTCTGCAGTGCACGTTGCCTAAGTAAAGTTTACAAGTGTCCTGCCTCATATTCTTGTGTTTGTCATATTACATCATTTTAAAAATAAATGGTTGATTGTGTAGGGGGTTGGTTAAAGTATTTTAAAGTCTTTGGTCAGTACAGGACTCCCAAGACCACATACACAGCACTTCGTAGCATCTGTGGCACATACTGCTTTCTGGTTTGCCACCTCTGTTAATGCTCCAAACCTTTGTTGCTTTGCATTAAAACGGTCTGAAACAGCAGTTGAAATCCAAGAAGAAAGGGGATGTTTTCGCTGCTTGCTGTGTGTGTGGCGCTTTTCTCTCCACTGTCTGCAACTGTAAATTCCTCAAAGCAACATTTCCTTAAGGTAATTTGGGTTTTTTATGGAAGACAAGGAAGCCCTACGTGTGTATTAAGCGGCAGCATGGGAGGAGGTAAGATGGGAGAGGAAATTAAAGAGCAGTAGTACTCTACACTGCCCTCCCTTGGGGATGCTTATTTGTCACACAGGGGCTTTTTCCACTGTAGCTTATCCTATTTACAGAGGGGAGCATTGTTTCCAAATAATGTGGAAAAGGATCCACACTAGGGAGAGCTCCTAACTACTCTAAGATTTTCCTCTGCAAGGCAGATCCCAAAATGTATCAGACCTTGAGCTGAAGGATTTCCTTCTAAATGGAGTCAGTGAAGGAGACTCGTACTGACAGCAGTTAAATCTTGGAGTTATATATTCAGTAGATCAGCAATAGCTGTAACTTTTTTTTTTTTTTAATTTGGAAGGAAAATGAACCAGTTGCTTAAGTTAACGTGCAACATACAATTTGCATATAGGATAGTGATTGTAGTTGGATAAGGATTAAGCCAGTGAAGGAAAATTCACGTAACACACCCACGTGACACAAAGTGGATGTTCCAAATTATAGACCCTGGGACAGTGCGAGTGGTCCGTGGAGCTGTACTAAATAGCAAAATCATACTTGTCAATTAAGCTTGATTACTTCGTGTTCCTCAAGAAACCGAGGTTGACGTTTGTCCAAGAAGTGTTGGAATGATTGGCACAGAGAAGCAGAAGATCTGGCAAAAATAACCCTCTGCAAATAGCAAAGTGTGTGTGTTTTTTCTCCTTTGTGCAGCTGTCAGGAAAGTCCACTGTTGGAAGAAGTTGCTTTTAGAGTATTCGGCCATTATTGCACACTTTTGAAGAGTTTATGATGGCCCAGTACAGGCCATAAATACATAAATATATGGTCAACAGTAATAATTCATAAAGTACAGCTTGGTCCTATAAAATGGTGTTAACAGTATGAATTAACATAATGTGGTGGTTTCTTGGGTGATTGACTCTTCAAACCATACAGCTTTGTAAATGTTCCTACATGAAATGTTCTTCCCGGTTTTCAGTAAAGCTGTCCTCTGGGGTGTCTTCCACAGTTCATACGGCATTAAACACATTTGGGGTTTTAGCACTTCAGGATACAAGTAGTTGGCCAAACGGAGCCCAGAGTTGTGATAAAATAATTGCTTCAGCCTTTGGTTAAACATCTGCATTGCTCGTAAGGATGCCTGACAGCTGTGATTTATCCTTTCCTCCTTTTATAGTGATCGACACCATACATCCAATGCAATTCCCGTTCCAAAGAGACAGAGCTCTAGCTTCGGCAGATTGGATATTGGCTTTTCTAGTGGGCTTCCTTCTCCGGATAAAGGACTCCGAAAACGAGCCAGCACGGGAAACGAAAGACTGCAGTACAAAACTCCTCCTCCTAGTTACAACTCTGCTTTAACACAGCCTGTTGCTATCACATCCCGTGTGGGAGAGTTAGATAAAAAACCTGGATCCATATCTTCCTCCTTGGATACCCCTATGGACTCATCGAAAGGAAATACCAAGCAAGGCGAGGACTTGTGCGGCAGTTTAAATGGAGAAAACGGGAGCCTAAACAATACCCAAGACTGTCAGGAGTCTTTCCTAGGACATACTAGTGCAATAAACGGGGCGTTTCTGCCCGGTGAGTGCTCTGGCACCGCAAGCAACGAGCAGCCCTGTGAGTTTCGGCCCCCGCTCGGCCCTGTCCTTTGCTGCACTGTGGAGCAAGCGGAGGAGATCATGGGAATGGAAGCGACGGGGTTCAGCACGGGAGATCAGCTAGAAGACTTTAACTCCATCCCGGTGGAACATGCCGTGGCGGTGGAGTGCGATGAACAAGTTCTGGGAGAGTTTGAGGAGTTCTCTCGAAGGATCTATGCACTGAATGAAAACATGTCCAGCTTCCGCAGGCCGCGTAAAAGTTCGGACAAGTGAGCTCGGACAGGGATTTGATAGCAGACATTGAGGTGAAATCAGTGATCTGGAATAGAGATAAAATTGCACTTATTCTTTATATTAATTATAAAAAATAAAAAAAAGCTAAAGCTGTTCCTATGGTGTTTAGACAAACGGACTTGAGCACGATAACACAGGATCATGGTATTTTCACGGCCCAGGTAAATTCTGATTCTGCTTCCAGTTCTCTTATGTCTGATATTTATAATCTATTGGAAATCTTTTTTTTTTTTTTTTTTTAGGCATTGGAATCCATTTATAAAGGTTTTCCTGGAAACAACTTCTAGTGCTGATCAGGCCCTTCTATGAATATTTGTTAATGTCTTAATTATTATTTAGAGTGAAATTTATTTCAGTCTTTTCAGAAGAAAGAAAAAGTTAATTTAAAAGTGTGTTTATAGCAAGACCTCATTCCCTTCTCCCATGTACTCCTGCATTTTCTTGAGCAATGTAGTCAGTGTTACAGAAATACCATGAATTTGTTGTAATTGGACAGCTTTCTCTTGGCTGTGCTCTGTAGCCTTTGAAGTTCTAGTTTGCACTGATGGGTCTTCGGTTGGTTGGTGTAAACTTGCCAGAGAATGAGCACCTGTGAGATATCTGCAGTTGCCTTGCACCTGATTAATCAGAAATGACATTTTTTTTTTCCCCCCTCTCCTTACTCACTGTTCCTACCAGCAGAAGCCTTGAGGACTAAATCGCCTCTAAGGTTTCTTATAAAAACCTCACCCTGACCATTCCCCACTTCAGTTGGGCACAAGCCTCATCAGCAGAGACCTAACGAATGCGCTACCTAAGCGGGGTTCAGCTGCCACCCTCCCTGCTGTCCCCTGGGAACGGCGTGCCGTGTAGCACTTATAAAAACCCAGACTGAAAATACAGTCAGCGCTTTGGAATTAGGTAAATGTGTGGAATCGCTCCACCCTGCCTAGAAAGGAGGCACCTATCACACAATCCATCGGCATTAATACCCTTTAACCGCCTCTGCTTTCAGCGCAGGAACGGCCGCGGCTCGCCGGCGGCGTGGTTGGCTGGTTAGGTCGCTTGCCACTGGCACGTGCGTTCAGCTGCACTAATGGGAAAGCAATTTGCAGCCTGCTTCGTGATTCCTGGTATTTGTTGCAGTTGGATTTCATTGCTCTTGCTTTCTATATTGTATACCCAAGAATTTGGGCTCGGTTGTGAGCTCTCAAATATAAAAATATATAGCAGAATAAAAAACACTTCATCATGCCTGGCGCTTTTTTTTTCCCCCCCTCTCCCTGGTCTATGCTTTCTTTTGAACCAATGACCTAGCCTTTTCCTAACTTCACCATAAGGCTAGCCTAAATTAACTGTTTGAAACGTGGGTATGTATAGTCTCAACTCTGTTGTCAAAACAAAGCGTGTATGTGAGAACTGATATAGGTAATAGCACTGTTCTAGCATATGCATTTTTCCAGGTAACACCTTCATGATTGTATTAAATTTATATTCATGTTTCTTCTGTTAAGCTTTTAACGGTCGTGTCTATAACGGAGTCGTAGGATCGAGCCTCTCTGCAGCGAGTCATTACTCTTGGTCTGTCCCACCACAGTGTGCTCGATGGAAGCACCCAAAAGCAGAGACCTCGATTCTGTCAGGCTGAACGTGATTCCAGGTGCAGGCTTGGGCATGGAGTTGGACACGTTCATGAGTATCTTCTCTCCGAAATAAGCTCCTCTGTTCCAACCTCAGGAAAAGGAAATGCTGCAGCAGCTTAAAGCGCTGTCACCATCTTTGAGGAGAGAGAGGTAGGGAATTATCGCCGTGCTTTGGCTGAGAGAGGCAGAAATGAGCACCTGGAAGCACAGCACTTACAAGGTGGGCACAAGGTACTCTTGTCCCGTGACTGTATCTTCTGGTAGCAGTATGCTTTAGGTGAAATTAGGGAATACTGAGTCAGTTGTGCACCTTGTGGGATGGGATCTGGCACAGCCAAAGCAGCACAGACCTTCTTTTTGCGGGCACGTTCCTTTTCCTCTAGAACAGAATGGCACCAGCCTGCCTGCGGTGGTGATTTTTCAGAGCAACCCAAAGAGTAGTTGTTTTGTAGGCAAATACGGAGCGTCTCAGTGCAATTAAGTGAAATTAGGTCCGTTAGGGCGGGACTCGGGATGTTGTATTTTTTCATTAGTTGGGCATTTTCTCAGGTTGCACCCGACCAAATGAAGTCTGATTTTCCCTCCCTGACGTTGTGTCGCCGTTCCTGTTTGAGCCCTGTAATTGTTAATGTGTCAAACACGATGGTGGATTTCTGCATCTCTCACACAAAGCTGCTTTGATGAGCTTTCTGTGGATGTGTCTGTAGGCCTTCAAGTCTTCCCATGTTCCATCGCTTCCTATAGGGAAGGTGCTGTGAAGGGGGACAGCACCGTAGGGCTAATTAAAGCATTGGCAAACGTCTCCTTGCTGTGAGGATGGGGGATTGTACAGGCTACAGCCATCTCACAGCTTGCTTTTTTGTGATTATTTTCCCCCCCTCCCCTGTAAATTACTTTGAAAACCGCGTAGTAGGAGAGAAACAGACAGGTTTGAAGGTGAGATGCTGTATCACAACGTGCTTTAAACTGTCAGAAGCTTTTCAGTTCCTGCACAGCTGTGACACTGTTAAACGTCTGCAAATATCTTCGGGTGGAGAAAACATTTCATTGCCATCTTTTCCCCCCTCACTTAGGAATTCCTAAGATTTTTGAGAATATTAGTTTTGGAAGATCATATCCCACTCTATTTTTATAGCAAGCACAACAGCGTTGGCTTATCCTTGCTTGACCAGGTATTTAAAATAAGCAGAACCGGAATATCCCGTAGTAAATGACACATTAAAACTCTGTTGGTAATTGCGGGAAAGCTCATCTGTATTTATAAAATAAAACTGATTAGTATCTCTCAACTTGTCCGTCTTCTGTTAACGGCTCCTTCGCGTTTGTTTTCATTACAAGCCTAATTGGAACCGCAGCGTCCTCCCCAGACTTTGGCTCACTGTTCATCAAGCTTCTCTTGATCCAAATGTGACTAATTTGGGCAAGAGAATTTGCTAGAAGACCTGACTCCAAATCCCTGTTTCACACGAGATGGTACCGCTGTTCTTTTTTCACTCCCAAAAAGATGGCACGCAGCTGGAAAAACAGCTACAGCCTACGCCAGGGCTGGGAGACAGCTGGATTTGCAAAACTTCTACGGATAGTGGAAGGGCCGTGTTCCCTCACTGGGGAGGTATTGCTACTCATCCCGCACCTTCTGCCAGCCGAGCTAATAAACGTATGTCTGCCTAAAAAGCCTGTGTTCCCCTTCAACAGGAGCCTGCTGCCCAGCCCTGGGGTGGAGGCTGTCCACGACACGCTGGTGGGAAGTGGTGTCATACGCAGAGCTACAGGGACTCTCCAAGCATCATCACTGCAACAGGTATTTGGGGTTTATTTTTTTCTTTTCTCCCACCCAATTTGCCTGTCAGCACAGCGTAGAATGCCAAGATGTCAGCTGAGTTGCCCTGGAGCCCAACTGGGAAGACACAGGAAAGAATTTTTACTCAAAGCTGGTTTGCAGCATTGAACAGCTTTATTGAAACGTAGTTATGTTGAAGCGAGTAATAAACTATGAATGGAAAAGGTTTTTATTGAAAGCACAGAATCATAGAACAGTT